ACTCAAGGTATTTCAGTAAACATCCGGTGATAAGTTGCAGTAGGTGCTGTCACAATCGATGACGAAAGACGAGAATGTGGCTACAACAAGTTTATCATATCGGTGGTCATCTGTGATTACTATCATAACTGTAATAATACGAAACTTAATTGGTACCTACCAATTACATACAGAAATGATAAAGACCATGTTTTATTAGATAAATCTTTACATACCATATTTGACAACGTGGTCATAAGAGGACCGGGATATATTCAAACAAACTATACATTGTCGCAAAATATTATATAATGCATTGGTAGTCACAGAAACAGGTAGACAACGAGGTTATGCTTTGACGGTAGGTTTTTCGAATGATCTAATTCTAACTACTTCCAAAACTATCAGATACGCTTTTACCATTAATGAAATCTGTATTAAGAATATTCAGTCGTTTGAAGTACTTGGAAGTGACATTGATTAAGTTACAGCAGGGGAGAACATGTTGATCAAATATATGTAAGATTGTCTCATAAAAAAATGTCACTTGAAAAATATTTGTCTATACACAAAAACGAGAAACGAGAAACACTTATGACCCACACCAACAAACGACAACCACTGAACAACATGCTCCTGACTTAGGACAGGTGCATACAAATGCAACGGGTTAAACGTTTTAACAGGCGCCAACCTTCACCCTAACCTGAGATAGTAGTGTAACATTTCAATATAAAAAGACACACTATAAAATGTCAATTGAAATGGCTTAACTCGATCAAAAAGACAAATAAACAAAAACAAGTCAACATACACTGAACGAATAAGTTTGATCTATGACACAATATAAATACAATATTAATAAAAAAAGATGTGGCAACAGTGTCAAAAAGAAAACTTTAACCTGGGATAAAATGGCGTAAAATAAAATAACGTACACAGTTAAATTTAAATATAATAATTTTGTTGTTAGGAGAACGGAAACATTTTCTACAAATTGATAAATTTGTTGTTCACAGTACGAATACAGAAGTGAAAATTAATCGTCATAATAAATAATTATCAAAGGTGGTACATATTAAAAATAGTGAGACCAGACACACTGACTATATATCGTAGTTCAGTTTGGGGGGGGGGGGGGGGGGGGGGGGGGGCAGAATTACAAAACTCCAGAAAAAAGAAACAAGAATTATAATTGTTCTATCTTGAATTGATGTTCTGGTTCCATCAACTTTTATTTTTTAATTTTTTAAAGGCTTATTATTTACATAAAGATTGAAATAAAAAAATAAATCTATTCTAATGTATAGCATTGTAAATGGACTTTCCACTGATTGTTTACAAATTTATTTTTACTAAAAACAACAAATTATGATTTTAAAAGAAATCTTCGTATTCCTCTACAATCAAGGTGTGGCAGGATTTACCATTCACAATAGAAAAAATATGTGGTAGTTTACAAATGATTTTTGAAACAAAATTATACTCTTTTTTTTTAACTATGTTCGACATTAAAAATCTAATGATATCTATATATTATTTTTTTGTTCAAATATGATACATTTAATTAATGTACCTTTTTTGATCTATGAATGGTATTTTTATATGTGTAATAAAGTTTGCTGTTAAATGTGGACTTGATATGCATGGAGTTAGGACTTCCAAACATATACTATTACTTAGATGAGTAATTGCTGAGGAACTTTCTCTTCAGCTATATACGATGTTTGTGTACAATTAAGAAACGTAGTTTTTGCAGATAGTAATTTATTGTGAAAGTTTTGGTTCTTTTAAATAAGATAATTTGAATACGTAAAGGCTAAAACTATAATATTAACGTTCTCAATTTTTGACTTCATATTTTCACGGGCGATCTGATTAACATACAGATTATGTGCTATAGACGGAGCTCAGACACAGGGTCTGTATTTCAGTCAGATTGTTTGACAGGGTTCGTGTTGGTAAATAAATAGGTGAATTTATAAACAAACTATTAAAACCTACTCAATGTAGCGTATGAATTTTGCAAGGATCGAATTGCTCAATCATCAAGTTTATAGATATACCTGAACTATTAGTTACATAGTGTGTTAGTGACCTAATACGATATATACTGGGTCACTAGCACACTATGTAACGAATTTATCTTACCGACTATCTTTATTTGTTGATTTTAGATTAGAGTTGTCTCATTTGCAATCATACCACATTTTATTTTTATATTAAAGTGTTCAAGTGTTCAATTTTAAGAACTTCTTCCATTGGTCTGCACAAAAAAAATAATGTCAACAATAACAATTTAATATGAACAACCTTGGTATAACAATATTAAACAAAACTTTCAATACATTTAAATAATCTAATAGTGCAAAAGTCGTAACTCCACTACTAACCGTGTATTGAAATAAGCCCCGCCTCCCTACTAACCTAATATGGAATATACACGGTCTCCTCGCGGACACTTTTAGCCAATCATATTCCTAGAAACGTATAGGAGGTAAGATAATATTAAATCCTACTCAATTTATTTTAGTGTTTATATTTTCACGGGGTTCATGTTGAAAAGTCTATAGATTTATGTAGAAGGTGATTTTGAACGAGTTTATAGATAGGTAAACTCGGCCGATTAACTCACAAACTAGATAAATTCCGAAGTATGTGAGTGAGAGGCGGAGTAAACCCATCAATAGACTCCGTAAAAATATTCTGTACTACTTATGAGTATAGAAATATGTTGAACTTAACATGTTTGACATATTTTATTGGAATAATACATGAATTGAGTAAGGATTAGTACTGATTGATATTTTAGTCTTAAATACATTTTTCCTTATTTGTTGTTATTGGCTTTGAAATAGCTGTCAGTTACTGCGAGTACTCTCACATCTGTACTTAGTGTCTTTTTTGTTGTTGTGATGTATAAATACCCCGCCTACTCCGGTCTATAATTTTTGTTACTATTTTTCTGCTTTGTATCGATCTGATGAGTTAAGCCCTTTTCGACTGATTTTATGAAGTGTGCTCATATGTTGTGCTGTTACACCACAGTGCCCGGTTAAGGGAGGGTTGTCACCCGCAAACATGATTAAACCCGACACATTATGTATGTGCCTGTCCCAAGTCAGGAGCCTGTAATTCAGTGGTTGTCGTTTGTTGCTGTTTATCATATTTGTTTTTTTATTTTATTGTTTTGTACATAAATCAGGCCGTTAGTTTTCTCGTTTGGATTGTTTTGTATTTGTTATTTCGGGGCCTTTTACATCTGACTCTGTGGTATGGGTTTTGCTCATTGTTGAAACCCGTACGGTGACCTAAAGTTGATAACTTCTATGTCATTTGGTCTCTGGATAAAGATGTCTCATTGGCAATCATACCACATCTTCTTGTTTTTATAATAAAATTAAGTACTGTGGATTCATTTATTTTCGTGGGTATGAATTTTCGTGGATAGAGAAAAAAAGACGTTTCGTGGTATGTATACGTAAATTCGTGGACCGCTGATTACAAAAAAAAAATCAGATACATAATTCGTGGATTTCTTTTTGATTTAGGAGATCATATAATCTCCTTGGTTTGATCAATAATAAAACAAACCAAAAAAAAGGAATTCATTGAAAAAGTTTTGAATTGTCAAAATCCTCGTTTGGTCATTCTAGGTTAAAGTGTTCATTGAAAACTTCTATTACAATAATGAACAGAGACAGCTAATTATTTGTTTGTTTTACAATATATAATTTCTTGTCGGAATTATATAAGACATTCAAAACTCTATGATTGAAAGCTCATTTCCCTAATCACGATATAATAAACAGTCGTATAAGTAAAAGGTGTGAAAATAAATGTTCCTGTCACCAGTAAACCAAACTATGACACGGTAATTAACAACTTGCAGTTATTTTCCATGAACAGTTTTAATCAATTTTAAAAAGTAAATTATCACTGATATTCGATATTTTTATGATTGATTTAATCAAAATACTTGTATCTTCATTCAATAAAAACACGTGCTATGTTACAATGTGTATCGCTAGTCAACACTATACTAGAACTGCATAACATAACCGGAAATAAAAATCCGAATTTATACACATTTCTCGGGATTATTCTTCGTTGAATTCCTAAATTCGTGGTTCGCTGTGACCCACGAAACCCACGAAAATTGGTATACCACGAATTAAAATGAATCCACAGTAGTATGAATGCCTTAGTAAGTCAAATCGGTGTATGCGAATACGTTCTCTAAGTGTTGAAGATGTTTATCATATCATAATAAAATTAATACTCAACTTTTTTGCCTGTATAGTGAGAAATTCATACACTTGATGTCATAAGGTAGGTTTATACATGTATAAACTTTTGACGGCTATGAAACTTACCTATGACATTAGATAGAACATACAACATTAGAATTATAAAGCTTATTCAATTAATTAAGTGTTTGAATTAGGATGGGTTTGTATTGCTTTAAGTTAGTTAATGACACAAAAATTGTATGACTTAGCCAATTGATTTGAGCGCTTAACAAATTCTTTGGTTATATACAGTGTTCTGTGTATTGTGTACTACGGCTTATATGTTTGATTCTTTTCCTTTAGCCATGGTGATGAAGGTCTTTTTTACCACTTAAGGATGTTCGCTACTCTATTTCAAAATAACAAGCTTTTTAAAAGACTGTTCTAAAATGATAGTATATAAATAAAGGAACTAAAAAAGCAGAAAAAAATGAAGGGTCCGTGTGCTTGTTTTCGAGATAAAAGCCAGAGGATTCCGAAAATCTGACAAAAATTCCAAAACATGACAAACGAACATCCTTAACAGGTTTAATTAGCCCTTGCAATATTCTTCTTTCGCTTTCTTTTTGTTTCCTTTTTTTTTAAAAACAAGCTGAGTAACTTTGCAGAATTAAGTTGAGTTAAAATTATGATCACAAAAAACACTCCCACTGAAATCGCATGTATCACGCTAACACCTATTTAAAAGTTCATAGATATAGGGCGACATATGTAGTCAAGATTACAGAATTCATCGGAACACAATGTATTGGGAATGGATGTTCACTGCTTTTCTTCTCGTATTTGGAAAAATCAATTGCCATAGAATAAACAAAGGTAGGGTGCATATAATGTCCAAATTTTGGGACATATAGTTATCAAATGGTACACATATGGACAAGTACAAAATATAATGCAACATTTATAAATTTGAAATGCATTTCTAACGTATAGTTCGTAGCTGTCCCATATACTTAAATAAAACCAACTCTTTTTTAAAAAAAACCTCTTCTCATACGTTGAAAAGGACATTTTGAATTGGCAAATTGAAAATATATGCTTAAATATTTAAAATAGCGGCACTGCTATGTTATTATAATTCATCATATTTACCGAAAGGAAGTTATTTTCCTTATGTTCGATGTTTACAGTCTTTGATTTATGGTCCACTTCAACGAGTTTTGGTCTTCCATGGTCATTTCTATCTTAATACATCAGCAATGTAAAATGTCAAGTCTATTTGATTAAGATTTGAAGTGTATAAGACAAGATTGTTTTTATGATTGCATCCAGTGCTTTTTTTTTGAATTTATTATATTTTCTACATAAAACAAGGAATTATTTGAATCTGGAATAATTTTGGATTCTAGAAAATAGATAAGAAATGCTTGATGAAAACTAACCTAATTAAGGAGGGTTAGCCATGCATGCATGGCTAAGGGGGGTTAGTTAGTTCATACTGAAATATTAGTGAAAGTAAAATGAACCTTAGCCATGGGTGCATGGCTAACCCTATTTAGTTGGGTTAGTTTTCATAATAAATTTCGAAGTAATTTTCCAGAATTCAAAATTATTCTAGATTCAAATAATTCCCTGTTATAAGGAAATGCCTGTACCAAGTCAAGAATATGACAGTTGTTTTCTATTCGTTTTATGTGAGCTTTTGATTTTGCCATTTGTTAAAGGCTTTCTGTTTTGAATTTTTACTTAGAGCTCGGTATTTTTGTTATTTTACTTTTTGCAAAGAGAAATAAAAATCAACGAACAGTCTAAAAATAGAGTGAACGAATCCAATTTGACTAGAGGTGTACTTAATTCATCGCGGAGGACATGTCTGAAAACATACTAAACGACAGGCAAGGACTAGGTAATTCACGGTTAAGTCTATTCAGAAAGGGTCTATTAAATGACTGTTTCAGATGGAAACCAATAAACTAACATGAACAATAACTTTCCAATGTTTATTGTAGATAAATGTGTCAGAGACGTAGCAGACAAAGTTGCCAATCTTATCACCGAAACCAGGAGTGAATGCACGTTGACACCTCCTGATGGTAATATGCTTAAATAAATTTTAAAAATCCAATCTCGCTAAGATGTTATTTTAATGTTTCAAACTCGTGTATATTGAAAATGCCGTACCTTAAACTTTTGAAGAAGCTAATTATTGTAATTCGCATTGTACTCATTATTATAAACAGATTATCACAGGTGATGGTTTAAAGTAAGTCTCTTTCTGGAAAAAAAATATCGCGAAACGTACGTAACTACACATCAAATTATCTTGAAACTATTATTTGATCCCTAGATAATCTTAAATCGACCGCCGATCCATTTGGCGTTCCTCTTTATCATAACGTTGCCCATGCAGGTGTTTATGAATCATTGGTTTTCAACGGGTTTAGGCGTTTCTGGTGAAGGTAAATCAAGAACGGCGCTTCGTACTCAACTTTATAAAGTTTTACTTTTAATTAATTAAATAACGATCATGTATTTTAAATTACACCATTACCTGTTTTATACAATATAGATTTAGACTTCCGACCTTCCGATTGTGGAGATTTGAAGAAGACAGAACACAAAAGTGGAGTCTATAAGATATACCCTGATAGAACTACCAGTTTTCAAGTTTTTTGTGATATGGAGAACTACGAAGGTGGTTGGACGGTAAGTATAGTAAATATACATGTTAACTTTATTTTTTTTGTTTTTTTGGAAGACTATTAAAATTTTTGATATTGACTCAATGACTTTCATTTTTCAAAAACTTGGTTGAATGTAGAGTATCGAAGATCACTGTTTAAATACGACATATCTTTGGCTCATGGTGTATTATAATGTCAAATACAACTTTAATTCGGTAATTCAAATTTAGAATTTTCAATATATACAACTAAACCGATACTAAATAGAATTTACCTCCATGGCGTGTTTTACAGATCGTGTGACGTGTTTAACTAGATGCAAATAGTATGGAAGGCCATACACGCAACCCGTTTTGAAAATAGATTGATTTATTATAATATATTATCATCTGCTTAACGTGTATAATCAGGACAAGAACAAATTATTTTGACAAAGTGAGTCGACCACGATGGAGGTCTAAAGGGACTTACTGAATGTTCTTCAAAATAAGTTATTATAATAGAATAGTATTCCTTATTCCTTGATCATATTGAATTCTCTCTCTCTCTCTCTCTCTCTCTCTCTCTCTCTCTCGTTTGTTAACAAATAAAAGTTACAATTCCACAGGTGATTCAAAAAAGGACAAATGGTTATGTTGGTTTCTATAGAGACTGGGAGTCTTACAAGGATGGATTTGGAGATCTCCAAACAGATTTCTGGTTAGGTGAGGTTATATCTTCTAATGAGATTAGGCATCGAAAGAAATATTTCTCAATTCTTCTTAAATTCATTTTAAACATACTACAAATGTGCAGTTGAATCCTATACCTCCTTTTTATATTTACACTAGAAATCTCGGATATAAAGAATACATTCAAAGTATATTCATATATACAGTCAAGTCTTTCTTTATTTTTTTCTCAATTTCAGATAAAATAGAATTACCAGTATACGAAATATTCTCATGATTCAAACAGCCACCGTTAGTGTTTATAGTGTTTATCATCAATTTCCGTCCAGATAGATTTTTTTATATGTCAATGACTGCTGGTTCAGACAAGGTTGTTGGTTAATGACGTTTTTAAACAAATGGTTTAGAATTACAGGAATTTAAACATTTAGAAATGGTAATGAAACAAATATTTTATCGTACCAAAAAGTCATCATTTTGCGCGAGGTTAAGAGTGTAATATGATATACTAGTAGTACACCTGACAATATTCCGTATTATTTGAGCAATAGGCCTCTCATTGTATGGTACAAAATATTATTTCATTCTGGATCAAGTAAAAGGAGTATCTTTTAATTGAATTTTACAATACTATCCTATTACAATCTGATTTTAAACCATTACGATAGATCAATTCCTCATACCTGCCAGACTGCTTTGAATAATTTCTATTTCATTTATCGTTCCGCTATGGTTATCTTCCCGTGTATTTTTATAAGTGCATCAATTCAGCCCTTTTTGGGGACCTAAGGAAGCGTCTTTTTTAAAGCATGCAAGTCACTTGCAATTCAGTGGTTGTCGTTTGTTGCTGTATATCATATTTGTTTTTCGTAATTGCTTTGTACATAAATCAAGCAGTGAGTTTTTGTTGAACGCCATACGGTTACCTATAGTTGCTAACCTCTACGTCATTTGGTCTCTGGTGGAGTTTGGCAATCATACTACATCCTCATATTTTTATATTCATTTTTACCAATCATTTTACCAACCCGGAAATGCTTAATCGTTTATATGTTTATATATTTAATCCTAAAATGTGGTTACCCAGAGTGAGAATGTTCATGCATATTTGTTCCACCTTACAAAAAATGCTATGTAAACTTTGTTATGAACAATTCTTTTACACTTGTCTCTATATCTTCATCAGAAACCAATAGGATAGTGTAGACTATATTGCATCGCCTTGTATGTCCACCCGCTGCTTCGTCTAACAAATATTTTTTGAACATCCTTTTCTCAAGAAGTACTGAACAGAACTTATTTATATTTAGTCAGCACTTGACAGTGATAAATCATAACGTGTGAGCTCTTTTGTGGTCTGTCGGACACGGGTATGCGTATCACAAGCAAGCGCGTGTATTCTCGTTTTTTCAGTAGAAATGATATTCCAATATACTATTAATCGAATATTTTAAGGATTTGTGATTCGTTAACACCTAATCACATGTACATTTGTATATACTCCGTTTGCATGCCAATACTGTTGTGTTTAGCTTTTCGTAGGTAAAAAACAGCATATTGTACAGAGCATACAGCATGTTACTAAACATTCTGGAAATCCCCAATTTTACATTGTTCGTGTAATAGTTTTTGATTAATAATATAACAATTGTAGCCTTTGGTTGAGGTCAATACGTATTGTACGTAAGTTTTGCAAATAAAAAAATACTATACAAAATACTTTAATGTAAATGTGTTTATACGTACTCTAGGGAATGAATACCTGAACAAACTGACCGAACAAGGATATTACATACTGCGGATAGACATGTGGGACTTTGCAAATAACCAAAAATATGCCATCTACGAGAAATTTATTGTTAACAACGAGAGGTCAGGGTACAAACTGGAGGTAGCTGGTTATGTTGGTAATGCAGGTAATAAAATCAGAATAATTTACAGCCGATTGCATTGAGTGTGTAGGAAAAGGTAATGTCTTTTTGTTAGCTTGCTTGCTAGCTGAACCCTGAAGTCATTATTAGGTTAGGTAAACTACCCTCCTTTAAGAGTAGACTAGTCCGACAGATAACCAATCGATCTGTCTGTAGGACTAGGCTACTTCGAAAGGAGGGTAGTATACCTTACCTAATAATGACTTCACAGTTCAGCTAGCAAGCAAGCTAACCAAAGATATTACCTTTACCTACACACGCAATGCAATCGGCTGTAAATGGAATTAAATAGACTATAAATATCATAATATAACTTTATACTACGAACTAAAATCTAATGCTATCCAATACAGTCGTTAGACTCGTTACAGAAATTATAGTTACAAAACAGGAAAATAACACTTTAAAAACCTGTTGCCTCTGAAGCGAAGTAGGCCTATGTATACGAGCCTAAACAGCACCTAACAACACTAACTGACCAAAATACATTGCGAGGTTGGCATACATATTGTGGTTACATCGTTTGCAAAGAAATACAGCAACTGGATGTCTGTGACGTCACAATTCGCGATTTTGACGGCATGCGATATATGAAGTCACGTCCTAAAGACGTTACATTCGATGCCCGTGGAAGAAAAATATAGCTCTTTAATATTCTCGAATATGATCTTCGGTGTTTACAGTATTTAACAGGTAACTGCAAAAAAAAAAGATATGGACATTTTGACTTGGATGGAGAGTTGTCTCATTGGCACTCATACCACATCTTCTTATATCTATATATGTGTCCCTCCTGTCTTGTGAATTCAAAATGTTTACGGGGACGTCTGTGATATACTCAACTAGTGGACAAATGTTTGCGATCTTTACTATTTGGCCATTCAAAACACAATACTAGTATTTACATTAACAGTTTTTTTTATTTTGGTGGTCAAATAGTTATAGCTACAGAACCTCTCTTTTTTTACATTTATTCACAATTACTCATCTGTACTCATAAACAGGCACATTTAAATCGAATAGTTACAAATTTAAATTTAATATCAGTGCTTTTTAAACAAAAATGTGTAACACTTATTGATATAAAGTGAACAGTTGCTAAATATTTAGTTTAGGTATAATATCAAATAACAAATAACAAAAAGTCATTCCTTCTTTGTCTGATACTTACTGGTATATTTAAGGATGTTCGCTAGTCTTGTTTTTGATTTTTTTTTTATCAGATATTCGGAATCCAAGAAGTGTGATGAAAAGCTTGTCCGCTAACCCCTACTTTTCTTTTCATAATTTTATTACATATAGTTTGAAAAACCATTTTTTAAATCTTATAAAATCCTTGTTATTTTTTTCATAGTGTTTGAAAGAAAAAAGGTGCCAATGTTTAATGTATGGAAAATCTAAAGAGATACATTCCCTGACAAATTTTTAATGGCTTATATCTCAAAAACAAGGACACGGACCTTTCATTTTTTTCTACTTGTTAGTTCCATTATTTGTATACTGTCTTTTTTATATGCAGGGGATGCATTGTCTTATCATAATGGATATAGATTTTCTACGAGGGACAAAGATTTAACTTCTCGGAAATGTGCTACGAAGTGTAATGGAGGATGGTGGTATCGTGGTTGTCATCACGGCAATCTAAATGGAAATTACCTTAAGGGAACACACAGAACTTATGGAGACGGTATTAATTGGAAACCGTGGAAAGGATACTACTATTCACTGAAGGCAACCCGTATGATGATACGGAGAGCCTAAACGAAGTTTATTTTTTATGAACAAAAAATAATCAATAAAAATATAAGCCATTTAACTACTTTTCTCTACCATGACAACTTATCATCTACGGAAAAATAGAGTAACACAAAGGAATTTTTACTTCCCTTTTTAGCTCACCCGGGCCCGAAGAGCCCCATGTGAGCTTATGCCATCACTTGGCGTCCGTCGTCGTCCGTCGTCTGTCGTCGTCGTCCGTCGTCTGTCGTCGTCGTCTGTCGTCGTAAAAAAAGCTTCTCCTCTGAAACTACTGGCCAAATACCTTCAACCTTTAACTAAATGTTCCTTATGGTATCTAGTTTATAAATTGTTTCCGAAGTTTTGATCCATCGACAAACATGGCCGCCATGGCTAAAAATAGAATATAGGGGTCAAATGCAGTTTTTGGCTTATATCTCAAAAACTAAAGCTTTTAGAGCAAATCTGACATGAGGTAAAATTGTTCCATTGGTCAAGATCTATCATCTATGAAATTTTCAGACGAATCGAACAACCCATTGTTGGGTTGCTGCTACTGAATTGGTAGTTTTAACAAAATTTTGCAGTTTTTTGTTATTATTTTGAATATTATTATAGATATATATAAACTGTAAGCAGCAATAATGTTCAGCAAAGTAAGATCTACAAAAAAGTTAATATGACCATAATTGTCAGTTGACCCCTTAAGGAGTTATTGCCCTTTAAAGACAATTTTACACAATTTGTTCATCAAGTTTGCTAACATTTAAAAATCTTCTCCTCTGAAACTACTGGGCCAATTACCTTCAAACTTTAAATAAATATTCCTTAGGGTATTTTGTTTATAAAGTGTATCCGAAGTTTGTATCCATCGACAAACATGGCCGCCATGGCTAAAAATAGAACATAAGGGTCAAATGCAGTTTTTGGCTTATATCTCAAAAACTACATCATTTAGAGCAAATGTGACATGGGGTAAAATTGTTGAATTGGTCAAGATCTATCGGCCCTGAAATTATCAGACGAATAGAACAACCCATTGTTGGGTTGCTGCCACCGAATTGGTAGTTTTAACAAAATTTTGCAGTTTTTTGTTATTATTTTGAATATTATCATAGATATATACATAAACTGTAAGCAGCAATAATGTTCAGCAAAGTAAGATCTACAAAAAAGTTAATATGACCAAAATTGTCAATTGACCCCTTAAGGAGTTATTGCCCTTTAAAGACAATTTTACACAATTTGTTCATCAAGTTTGCTAACATTTAAAAATCTTCTCCTCTGTGATATACAGGTGAGCGATTCAGGCTCTTGAGAGCCTCTTGTTCTAATCTCAAACTTCTTTTTCCAAGTGCTGAAGTTTCTATGGATTTGATCTTTGCATGACAAAATGGAAATATTATCGATTTGAATCACTAAATATTATTTTTGTCGCAGTCTAAGCAGAATATGCTTACCGCTTTTTTATTGTTATCAAAACCGATTTAGTCTAGGTATTTAGTTAAATTTGTATTCGGTGTGGTTAAGTCTTGTTTTTTGTCACCTATTTACTATTGTCAAAAGCTTTAGTCAACGAAGTTTTCAGTTTGTTTGTGTCGTTAATGGATAGTAACCCGCACAGGAGTAATGACGTATACATTTGAGTTTTACAGTAAATGTGTATATATTCTTGAGATAATTTCCTAATGTGTTCCACTTCACTTTTTGTCTTTCGTTTAGTTTGTTAGTCGAAGTTTTCTTCATTTTATTTTTCTTATCTATAATGCAGGAAAACGTTTTGACTAAGCATTTTCATATATTATTTCCTTCAAGCATCTAAAAATGAGCTTACTGTATTAATTTTGTATTGTTGTTGGACGTTGTAGTGACTATTTTGGTCTTTTTATAAAATTGTGTGTTGATATGATGTTCTTAATAGACATTTGCGGGAAATGTCATACACCTACGATTAGGATTACAATTACACTTACAGGCAGCATTTAAATCTTGGGTCGTTTCAAAGTGTAAATATAAACCTTCGGTTTAAAAAAAAAGACTAACACCTATGACGTTTTTCTAGTTGAACAACGGGATTTCGATACAAAATGGCATATTGGGAGCTTGAGGTAGAATCTGGACGTTTTTAGCTCACCTGGGCCCGAAGTGCCCCATGTGAGCTTATGCCATCACTTGGCGTCCGTCGTCGTCCGTCGTCGTCGTCGTAAACAATTCCAAGAATTTTCTCCTCTGAAACTACTGGACCAAATACCTTCAAACTTTAACTGAATGTTCCTTAGTGTATCTAGTCTATAAATTGTATCCGAAGTTTTGATCCATCAACAAACGTGGCCGCCATGGCTAAAAATAGAACATAGGGGTCAAATGCCGTTTTTGGCTTATATCTCAAAAACAAGCATTTAGAGCAAATCTGACAAGAGGTAGTAATGTTCTATAGGTCAAGATCTATCATCCCTTTTTCAGAAACTTTTCAGACGAACCGAACAACCCATTTTTGGGTTGCTGCCACTAAATAAGTAATTTTAAGGAAATTTTGCAGTTTTTGGTTATTATCTTGAATATTATTGAAGATAAAGATAAACTGTAAACTGCAAAAATGTTCAGCAAAGTAAGATCTACAAAATAGTTAATTTGACCAAAATTGTCAATTGACCCCTTAAGGAGTTATTGCCCTTTAAAGACAACTTTACACAATTTGTTCATCAGGTTTGCTAACATTTAAAAATCTTCTCCTCTGAAACTACTGGGCCTAATACTTCTAAACTTTAACTGAATGTTCCTTAGTGTAAATGGTTTATAAATTGTATCCTAAGTTTTGATCCATTAACAAACATGGCCACCATGGCTAGAAATAGAACATAGGGGTCAAATGCAGTTTTTGACTTATATCTCAAAAACTATAGCAGTTAGAGCAAAAGTGAAAGGAGTTAAAGTGATGAATAAGTCACCCATTGTAGGGTTACTGTCGGAAATAGTTCATTTTTATGAAATTTTACTGTTTTGGTTATTATCTTTAATATTATAATAGATAGAGAGAAAGTGTAAAAGGCAAAAATGTTCAGCTAGGTAGGATCTACAAATAAGTCAAATGATCAAAATAGTCAATTGACTCCTTAAGGAGTTATTGCCCTTGAAACGTTTAATTTTTTTTTGCATTTTTTCGTGCAAGTCTATTACTTTTTCAAAAATCTTCTTCTCTGAAACTACTCGGCCAAATACTTCCAAACTTTAACTGAATGTTCCTTAGGGTATCTAGTTTATAAATTGTATCCGAAGTTTTGATCCATCAACAAACATGGTCGTAATGGCTAAAAATGGAACATAGGGGACAAAAGCAGTTTTAGCTTATATCTCAAAAACTACAACAGTTAGAGCAAAAGTGAAAGGGAGTTTAAGTGATAAATGGGTCATGATCTATCTGTTATGAAATTTTCAGACAAGTGCGACAACCCATTGTTGGTTTACTGTTGGAATTGTTTATTTTTATTAAATTTTACTGTTTAAGGTTAATTTTTTTAATATTATTATAGATAGAGAGAAAGTATAAATGGCAATAAATGTTCAGCTAAGTAAGATCTACAAATAAGTCAACATGATCAAAAGAGTCAATTGACCCCTTAAGGAGTTATTAAAACGTCTTTTTTTTACATTTTTTGTGAAAGTCTAATTACTTTTTCAAAAAACTTCTTCTCTGAAACTACTTGGCCAAATACTTAAAAACTTTAAATGAATGTTCCTTAGGGTATCTAGTTTATAGATTGTATTCGGGGATTTGATCCATTCAAAAACATGGCGGCAGTTTCTAAAAAAAGAACATAGGGGTCAAATGAAGTTTTTGGCTTTCATCTCAAAAACTAAAGCAGTAATAGCGAAACTGAAAGTGATAAACAGGTTTCGATCTACCTGTCAAGTAATTTTTAGACTAATAGGACAACTTATTGTTGGGTTACTGTCCAGAAATAGTTAATTTTTATGAAATTTTACAGTTTTGGGTTATGTATCATCTTTGATATTATTATAGAAAGAGAGAAAGAGTTAATGACAAAATTGTTCAGCAAAGTAAGATCTACAAATAAGTCAAATGCCTGAAACTGAAATTACAGGTGAGCGATATCAGGCTCTCATGAGCCTCTTGTTCTTTTTGCCATCGTGGAGTCTTTTTTCTTCGACTTATGGGTTCTAAATGCCCCTTTGCATCATTTCTTCGTTTAAAAGTAATTTAAGTTGCATTAAACATATACACGCATTACATTTTAAATTAAATCAAGAATTTCAAAGTATAGACTCCCAAGAACTTCGTTTAAATATTCTTAAAGCACTTAGGTTGTCTTTTAACGTACACGGATGTCTGTGAACCCAATTTTAGATTTAATAAAAGTCAAACAAGTTTTTTAAACGATGATTTTTTTTTTTTTATTTCTTTAGAAATAAAGTAGTTAATATATGTTATCAAATAAAACTATATTACATCATTCTTGACTTAAATGCTCTTTGCTTGTATAGATATATGAATGCACACGAATATTAAATGGATCCTCATCTTAATCAAACACATGACACATCATTTATAACGAGATCTTTTTTATATTTCATTAAGAATAAATTATAAGCTGATATTTTGAAAAAATCTCCAACGCATCTTTTAATTTTACATGTATCGTTAACGTCAAAAAACAGTAGAAAAATAACGTTTATATTATTTGGCAAGATCTAAACTTATTTAAAAAAAAATACACACTATTTAAGTCGGTTAGGGAGCATTTGCGGATACAAAAGTGTAATCGTATAAAAGATGTATGATTCCCAAGTACTATATACCACCCTACCACCCGCTTTAGTAAAGCGAGTGGAACTATTAATACGGAAAAATTAATAAATGATAAGTGTATTTCGTGCATTTATTTTATTTTTTCCCGTTATGGATGAGGGACACAGATTTACCATGGCAGCATTAGCTGCCAGCCCTGATGCAGACTCCACCAAATGTAAGGTACACATTTCATTTATCATCTGATTCTAACTCTGGTAGTCCTAGCTTGACCACCGACAAACCAAAATTTATACAATCAGGAAAATATT